CGGGGAATTGGCAAAGAAAGCTGTTGAAGAAGGGGGGTCATCTTACAATGGCATGAAGGATCTAATTCAGGAAATCAAAATGTACAAAAAGGCGTGAGAATTGGAAAGTATAGAATTAACTATCAGCTATTAATAGCATATCATATCATTTATAAACAGCATTTGTTGCAGTTAACAATCGAATATAAGAACTTAACTTGAAGGTAAACCAAGGTCAAAGAGAAGCGCAAGTAGAAAACTTATCCATTGGTTTTGTTAACCTTAGGCATTCAAAATTTGGGAAGACTTCATCCATGTCGCTATCTGCGAATTCCAGTGAAACATGCATTCTTCAGGGAATTCCAGTGAAAGAATCCAATAAGATGCCTCAACTCTTGCAACTTGGTAGAGAAAAAGAAAGATGATAACCGTCTAAATGCAAAGTTTGTAACCTCTGCAAGTTAGCAATTGCTGGTAAATTTTCCGCAGCTACAGATCTTAAGTTCTTAACCTTAAATATATCAAGTAAATCACCGTTCTTATAATCTCTTTAGGAGTAATAGAAGTCTCAACTTCGAGCACTCTTAGAAATCTAAATTATATTTTCTAATTTTCGGCTAAATAGGAGAAGAAGTGGAAAGACCCTTCGAGGATTTCAATATATACTTTCTTTTACAAGCATGTTTTTGATTTAAAGCATGTTCATTCCATTGAAAGTTTATTAAACACCTTGCTTATCCAAATTTTATTTTACGGGTTTGAACACCTATCAATATCAATGAATCTTTGTTTATTTTATATTGACATGATTTAAAAAATCAGTATTTTTGTTGATGCGTGATTTTGACACCAACGAAACGCACGTGAGAAACGCTGAGCTGACTCAGGAGATGCACGTGAAAGTGATGGATAATGAGATAATAAATACAATGGGGACAATTTTTAAAGTGGTTCGGATGCTAAGGTAGCAAGTCCTACGTCCACTGAGGCTTATATTGATGATAAGGGTCAGGTCGTTTTTCGCTGACTGACTTTACAATAATATTACAAGGTATTGAATGCTAAGAAAGAGACAGAATAATTAATCAAGCGTAAATGTGCCCGGAAGATCCCCTTTTATGAGAGAGAAGCTTCCAATTTATAGTGGGATTTATTGAGGCAATGATCACTAAATCTGAAAAGTTGGTGGGATTATCCGTGCAAATCCCTCTTTATGTCACATTGCCCATCTTCCAGAGTGATTTGCGCGATTTAGAGTAGGGATTGGACACGTAGAAGCACCACAGCTCCTGACTGGCCTGACGCGCACCCACTATCCTGACAGAAGCAGACGGTGGTTGTTCCAATGATCTGACTCTTGTGGACTGAATGGACCTAATGTATGCCCCTATACTTTTTGGGCATAACAGAAGTCCCCTAGTTTTCAAGGTTTGAGGGTTGAACCTTGGAAACTATAAGTAATGCCACAGCGGGGTGATTTTCTGGAAATTCTAGCCTGTTTGAAAATAGGTCGGGACTACATTTTTATGGGCGCCAACTTGCGTGTTCATTATTTGCAGAGGACAAGCGACCTTATTTCGTCTGACGTCAAACGTTGTTCTGGTGATAGGGAGGCATTTAATGGAGCAATTCCTGTGCTGACAGGTGTGTCCTTTGCGTGATAAATGCTAGCCAAGCGCATTAAATGCATTTTATGCTGAAACAGCGCACTTTATCAGAACATTAAATGCGTTATACGTTGGAACGATGCCCCTTATTAGAAAATGAGGATTTGAAGCGCAATTAATGCTCTGAGAGGTATGACCATCGCTTGAGCTTTTCAAATGGAAAGGTGAAAGTTTGACTTTATCCAGTCGTTTCGTTCGCCCTTCCTTGCTGATGAGCGACACCAAACTGTTGATTCTTGATTTTGAACGCCAACGACTCGCACGTGGGAAACGCTGAGCTGACTCAGGAGACACACATGAATGGATCCACGAGATTTGAATATAGAGCTGAGATTATATATGTTGCAGAAAACATAAATAAAAGATTGGCAAGAGGGGCTCTTATAGTGGTTCGGATGCAACAAGCGACTCCTACATCCACTGTTATTTTATTGATCTCTGACTATTTCTATGATTTTGCCCCTAAGGCATACAAAGATGAAGAAATACAGTGTTTTTACAGAGAAAAAGAATTGAAGCTCAAATCTTAGCCCAGCCTCCTTCTTCGGGAAGAGGACTACCCATTTATACACATAAACACTCAATGTAATGAGTGTTTTGCAAGTTGCCTTGACACATGGAAGCCTCTCATCCATTCATCTCTTTGAAATGAGATAAAGTTGGTGTGAATATCTTTGGAGATATAGGCTTGGCAGCTAGTACAAGAAAACATTAAATGAGCTGACATAGGCGTGACTTTTAAGGCATAACAATTTTATTTGAATAAAAGTCAGCAAGTTAAAGTGAGTAAGATTAATTCTATTAATAGCCAGTAAAGGTTAATAATAATATTAACAAAGTCAGTTTGAGAAACTTTAATGGACTGAGGATAACTTTGTTGTAGAAACGTTAGAAGTTTTAGACTTAAAGCAATGTTTTTAAACTCAGACCCACCTTGACTTGGTCAAGGGGCCGGGTCCCAACGTTGGCCAGTCCGACCAGCTGGACCGTAATGTCAGCATATCCAACAGGTTTGAAATCCAGTAAACACACCCCTGAGAAATTATTATCAATGCCTGTAGGTTTGAAATCCGGCAAACACACCCCTGTAAAATTCCCCTTAGTCCTTGCAGGTTTGAAATCCAACAAACATACCCCTAAAAAATCACACATTAGTCCTGTAGGTTTGAAATCCAGCAAATACACCTCTAAAGATTTACACATCAGTCCATTCAGGTTTGAAATCTAGCAAACACACCCCGAGAATGTACCTAGACCGAATTAGGGGCCGGTCCAGTCTGACTAGCTGGTTCGGTCTGGGTTTTAAAACGGTGCTTAAAGGTTATTTCCCATAATCAATTATTAAGAATGGTGAAGCCAATATATTTTCCCTTGGACCATGTTAATGCCTACAAGCACTTAAGATTGTTAAACATTCAAGCACTTCGTAACTTGATTATGCCTTGGGATAATGAATAAATTTTTGTTATCAATTTATATAGTTGCTAGGAAAACCAATCAAATATATTGTTGTAATATGTTAATTTGATGGGGTGTCCACAGCTTGGTTAAATAAATTATCAGGATAATGAATATGTTACTTTACGGAAGAATCCAACTTAGGAAAATTGTTGTAAACCACTTGCATTCTGACCTCAAAAATATTTTTTCATATATTATTAGAGTAATAAGAAGAATACAAATTTAAAGAAAAAGCAAATGTTAGAGTTGTCGACTACTTCAGTATTAATGGGTAACGGAGACGCACTCGATAGTAGGTGTTCCACAAGCGGGTATGTATTCTCTTTATTTGGTGCTGCTGTTTGTTGGATGAGTAAAAGGCAAAGTACTGTGGCTTTGTCATCAACTGGGGCAAAATACATGGCATTGACACATGCTGGTAAGGAAGCTATGTGGCTTCGAAGATTGAGTTTAGAGCTTGGTTTCAAGCTTGATGCTGTGAAGATTGGGTGTGACAATCAAGGGGCTATTTACTTAGCTAAGAATCCTGCCTTTCATTCGCGATCAAAACACATTGACATACATACCATTTCATCAGGCAAAAGGTGGAGGAAAAATTGGTGTTGTTAGAGAAGGTTGATACACTTGTTAATGCTACAGATTTTCTTACCAAGGCTGTGAGCTTAGCAAAGTTTACATGGTGTGTTGATGAGGTAGGCCTTCATTGTGTGAAATATTCGCCAAGTGGGAGAATGTTGGAGTTGTCGATTACTTCAGCATTAATGGGTAATAGAGACGCACTCGAGGGTCCCGCTGGGTTAGGCTTAGGAATAGGAATCCTTGTAAAACTTGTTTTAGTCTCTTAAACCTAGTATATAAACATACTTTTCTCTTATTATGTGTGTGAAAGCAATTCATTCATTGTAAACGAGAGAGGTGAGGCATATTGCAATAATATTGACTCGGCTGGACGTAGTCCACATTGGATGAACTAGGATAAATCGCTCGTGTTATTTTCTTTATTTACTGTTTGATTTGTTTTACTATTATAGTTTGTTCCTGTTGTTGTCTCTATTTCGTTCAAAGCAGTAGTAGATAATTTATAATATTAGTAGTAGTTTACAAAATATCCTACGAAGTACCAATCCCCTAAAGATCAGATTTCGGAAACATACACACATTTCAGATTATAATACATATTTGGCTCTGCGCATGTGTATAACAGATTAAGTTGCTATGCCTAAGCGATGAGCTGCTTGCCAGGTATGATAGGTTTAGTTGCTCTGCCCAAGTGATGTTAGAGCTTGCCCAGTATGACAAATTTTTCCTCTCTTTACCTTTGTGTGGGACGCCCCTAGGTATGACAGATATTCCCCTGGGTACTATTTACAGTAAAAGTTTTTAATATTAGTTGCTAGTTTTATAGTATCATATCATTTCTTAGTTTTACAATATCAGAATAGTTCTTAGTCTTCCATATTAGATCAGTTATCAGTTATCAATTGTATTGTGTTAGAGGTGAGCTAATAAATCAAAAAGATAATAATGATAGTTCAGTACCCTATATTTAGATATCAGAAATATTGAACAGATAAGATTAGATAATACATTACTAGATTATTAATATCAGTTATACGAAATAATTCGGATAAATGGTAATATACAAAAATATTATTTTCAAAAGAGTTTACTATTTTTAGAAGAATGTTATATATATAAGATAAAAAAGTTTAGTAATAGTTTAGTCAGTAACCGTTTTTCAGCCTCACACACAACATGGCTCAATCATTTGAGTCTTATAGGATAGCGAATGGTTGGAATGGCTCTTTTCATAAACTAAAGTAACAACCCTGTTTTTTGAAATGTGAACGGCTTTTTTCCTTCATATTAAAACCCATCAATTCCTATGAGAAAGTTTGTTGTATTTAATATGGATAAGTTGCATACATAGATTTTATTTGATGACATAAACGTACATATATGTCTATATATAACACGACACTCTCGCTTATTACTGGAAGGGAATTACACAGCTCATAGAGAAAACTCAAAGGCAACGCAACCACAGCAACAAATGAGATCAAAGTTCAAAGTAGCTTGAGTGAGAAATTACCACGTAGATGGTCTGAGCATTCCCATTTGCCTGGGAGAGGAATTGATTTCAGTTTTTCTGGAATTCTCAATTTATTGGAGCATTTTGTCATACTCAAGCCTCTAAGCATTGGCATTGCATCTTCATCTACTTCCCACTCCTCCAACTGAATTAAATTTGAAAGATTTAGAACTTCAAGCCGAGGAAACCCATTTGCCCTGCAGCTCAGTTTCTCTCCGGTATAAGATTTACTGAATAAAACAAGAAACATGAGATTTGGCAACTTCTCTAATGAAGGGATCGAGTCTTCCTTTAGCAACGAATTCATTAACTTAAGGGCTTCAAGATTTGGAAATATTTCGTCTAAGTTTTCTGGCAGTTTCTCTATTCTCCCACATAGTCTCAAATCTACAAGACATCGGCAATGACCGAGTAAATGTAGAGAAGGCAATGACTGACGGTGCCCCAACCAAACTGATAAAAGACGAAGGCTTCTAAGTTTTGCGACAGTCTCAAATTTGAACACTGGAATAGAAAGATCTGTTCTTTCATTCAATTCAATTTGCAGCTCTTGAAGATCAACCAACCTTTCAGGGTTGAGCTTCTCCCAGCTTGAAAGACATACATATTTTAGAGTCAAGAGCTTTTTCAAATTTGCTATGGGCAAAGACTCTGAAAAGAATCCAATTAGATGCCTCAATTCTTGCAACTTCGAAATTCAGTTGGTAGAGGAATATACTCTCGGAGTGATTCCATCGCAAAGTTTGTAACCTCCGCAAGTTGCCAATGGATGATGGTAAATATCCACTCAGCCGATGACCCCAGATATATCAAATGAATCAACTTTCCTATCTCTTCAGGTAAAATCATCCCAAAACGGTCGACTTCGAGCACTCTAAGAAATTTAAATTTTTTGCACAAGGTGTCAACTCGTTAGGTGGTCGATTGAAGAACAGAGGGAACGACAGAGCTTATTAGAATGTCGCAGAAACTTCCCTTCCCGAATAAACAGCTTGACGTCGACATGATGATGCAATTGATGAGCGAGTACTTGAACGACTGATTCATCATAAATATGATAAAAGTTCAGTTCTTTTGCCTCCTAATGCAAGATCTCGTAAAAGATCATGTACTCGACATGTTACAACCGCCCCCAACATCTTTTGCTATTTGCACCAAATTCTATTAATCAACTTTATCAATAATCCGCAGCCACGTCTTCATTATTTGATCTCCATCTTCCTGTATAAAGCCTTCTGACAACAATCGGATTAATTTTTAATGTTGATCAAAATCCTCTGGAAAGAGACCCATATAGAGAAAGCACAGCTTCAACTTAGAGGCACATAAAACTTAAAGCTAGCAATGTTCAATATGAATTGAATTATCACTTAAATGTCGCCAAATGCTGTCATGACCGCACGCCATTGCGGAGGCTTCTTCGTGGACAAGAGCCACCCAACACAATTATCGCAAGTGGAAGGCCACCACATTTTTGCAACATTCTTCCTAACTTCTTCAATCCACCATCTAAATATTTAGGTTTCGAAAAGCTTTCTCAGAAAATAGTTGCCAACTCTCCTCTGGACTTAAAAATTGAAGCGCGTGGGCATACGTTTTTCTCGTCTGAACGCTCTGCTACTTCTTTGATGCGTGTGGTGATAATTATTTACTACCATTATTGTTGTCTGGGAAAGCTCGTTTCAGGCTTCCCAAGTTTCCTTTTGCCATACATCATCCAACACCAGTAAATATCGCTTTTCTAGCAAAAATATGAAGCTTTCTTTCCAAATTTCTTTGCTCATCTTCCCTATCTCCTTCATCTCCTCTTTGGTTGTGATCATCTTGAAGGATTCTATAATTCTTTGAAGAACATCACGATTATCGAAATCTTCTGATATCGAAACCCAAGCACAATGATCAAAATGTTTGTTAATGTCATGCGTATGTAAAACTTTTTAGCAAGAGTAGTTTTACCCAAACCACCCATACCAAAAATTGAAATGACAAAACGTCCAGGCTCGCCCCCGAGAAGTTTGGGCAACAGTTTCTCAGCACAGCATGGAAGCCAACAACGTTCTCTTCAGCTGTGAAGGAATTCTGTCTTCTCAGATCTTTCAATTGCCAAGAGTTTTGCTGGTACTTCACTCATGCTACGAGTATCTTGAAGTTTGTATGTTCTCGCTTCCGAGAGAGATCACTGATTCTCTTTCTGAGTTCTCAATCTCTTTCCAATGTAGCAAATCTACCATTCCGAATATGCAAGAGCATTCATAACAGAAGGAAAGAATCTTAGCTCTCTTTTTAGTGTTACTCCTTCATCCACGTCGACCGTACGAAATCTCTTCATCTTGCACCTTGAGCAAAAATGTATCTAAGACATCCTCGGTATCATCAGCAAGTCAATGATATCAGATACCCAACGGCGTATCATGGGATTGTTGCTTTGTTTCTTCTGCATCCTTAATGAAACATTGCATCCATTCCAATTCGTTCCGAAGCAACTCCACTTTATTCTTCACTCCTCTAGGAAAACTGCTTCTGGATGATTAAGTTCCCAAGCCTTCCCGAAACAAATGATACTACAGCATCAACCATACTGTAAAAGCTAGATTTTGTTGCTTGTTAGAGAGTTTTGGCGGAGATGGACTTGATTTGGATCAGAAGGTACATTTGTTGGAGTTGGCAGTTCTTTCAAAATTACTAACCATATGATTTTAATAATTTTATTAATTATTTAATGATAATTTAGATTAATAAATTATTGAGTCGGTTCAAGGTTATTCTTTTCTTGAGTCGGTTCAAGATTATTCTTTTCTATTCTTGTTCCTGTTTTTATGGAATACTAAAATAAAAAGTAAAGCATGTTGCATCCTTTGTCAATTTGGGGTCATTAATATAATTGAATCCAATGCTTTGTCTCTATCTTTTCTTAAACTTGTCACAATATCAAGAACCCAGCTGGAAGCTTTCACTTGATTCTCGCAAAATTTGGCATATGATTATGATTATATGCAAGAGGCCATTGCGAATTTATAATTGCCCAAATAACCCTCAATTTCAATATAAATGGCATTTAAGTTTTTACACAATTTAATGAAACAATTTATTCTCTCCAATTTGATTTTTTCCTCTAATTTTGCAGGTTTGTTTTTTCCATTGCACATATAAGTGAAATATATATATATATATATATATATATAATATATATATATTATATATATATATATATATATATTATATAAGAGAGAGAGGAGATGTGAGCCATTAAAAAAAGTCAAGAATGGAGATATGAGCCAGAGACAAGACAGAAAAAAAATTTAACACCCCTCAAACACATTTATAGAAAAACAGAGGAAGTATTTTTTAATGGATTCTAATCAAAGTATCAAATAAATTATTGACTATTCATCTAATATTATTGCCACTTGTTCAACCCCATCATAAAGTAGAGTTATCTCAGTTTTCATGATCAATTTCGGTCAAAGCTTCTACATTGATAGAGTCTAGAACTTTTTCATCAGATACTTTCTCATATTTTCGTATTCGATTCATAATTTCCATCAAATTACAAAAATAATCATTCATTCAGAGACTAGCCATTTTTCATCAATGAAGATGGCATCGTTGCTTTGTTTTTCTTATTCATCCTTAATGAAACATTGCATCCATTCCATTTCTTTAAATATTCTATTGAGTTTAAAAGTAAATTACTTGCTCACAATACAATAATTGTTTTGCCGAATATAATTTATTATAGAACTTTACAGTAAATCAGTAGTTGGTGTGATTTCAAGTACTTTACATACTTGAAGCTCAATATAGTCACATCTTTCTAAGATGAATTCAACGTAAAATATACGCAATCTGGTAGCAACTAGCTGGTATTTTAGTACTTAATTATCAATCGATACTATAATTAATGTCTTGCAACATATTTTGTCATAAAGCTACTTACATTAAATCAGTATAATATATATGTTACCCCAAAAAAAAAAAAAAATCAAATCAACATTTCTAAATATTTAAAAAAAAAAAAATAATGCTATGCTTATAACTTAATTATACAATTAGAGAAAAAAAAAAAAAAAACAGAATAGTCATTTTACATGTATTTTGGACAATTTTTACATGATTATATAACTCACTTATATGCAAAACATTACTCTTAAACCATCCACTCTTTTCTTATCCTATTCTCCCGTTGTTAATATCTTCCGAGTTATTATTGGAGTTATCAATAATACTAGATGTAAAAAGAAATCTTACAAAGATTTCTGTACAAAGTGATATGTCAAGAAATGAATAGAATAGTAAATATAATGAGTTTGACTTTTTGTCTCACTCTTCCAATTATTTCTTGCCATATCACTTTGTACATAAATCTTTGTAAGATTTCTTTGTATATCTAGCATTACTCCATATGTTATATCACATAACTCTCTCTTATGACCGAAAGGAAATCGCACAGCTCATACAGAAACAGAAACAAAAACAAAGCAAATAATAATAAATTGAGATTCGAAAGCAACGCAACCACATCAACAAATGAGATCAAAGTTCAAGGTAGCTTGAGTGAGAAATTACCACGTAGACTGTCTGCACATTCCCATTTGCCTGGGAGAGGAATTGATTTCAGTTTTTCTGGAATTCTCAAGTTATTGGAGCATCCTGTGATACTCAAGCCTCTAAGCATTGGCATGGCATCTTCATCTAATTCCCACTCCTCCAACTGAATTAACTCTGAAAGATGTAGAACTTCAAGCCGAGGAAACCCACTTGCCCTGCAGCTCAGTTTCTTTCCAATATAAGATTCAGTGCTTAAAACAAGAAACATGAGATTTGGCAACTTCTCTAATGAAGGGATCGAGTCTTCCTTTAGCAACGAATGCGCTAGCTTAAAGCCTTCAAGATTTGGAAAGATTTCGTCCAAGTTTTCTGGTAGTTTCTCTATTCTCCCACTTAGTCTCAAATCTACAAGACATCGGCAATGACCGAGTAATTGTAGAGAAGGAAATGACTGATGGGCCCAAACTGATAAAACACGAAGGCTTCTAAGTTTTGCAACAGTCTCAAATTTGAACTCTGAAATAGGAAGATCTTCATATTCAATTTGCAGCTCTTGAAGATCAACAAACCTTTCAGGGTTGAGCTTCTCCCAGCTTGAAAGACATACATATTTTAGAGTCAAGAGCTTTTTCAAATTTGCTATCGGCAAAGACCCTGAAAAGAATCCAATTAGATGCCTCAATTCTTGCAACTTTGAAATTTCAGTTGGTAAAGAAACATACGATTGAGCTCCTTCTATCTTCAAAGTTTGTAACCTCCTCAAGTTGCCGATGGATGATGGCAAGGTAAATACTCCAACCCGTAACCCCAGATATATCAAATGAATCAACTTTCCTATCTCTTTAGGTAAACGCATTCCAAAAAGGTTGAATTCGAGCACTCCAAGAAATTTAAATTTTTTGCAAAATGGTGTAAACTGGTGGCTAGTGTCCATTGAAGAACAGAAGGGAACGAGAGAGCTTATTAGAATGTCGAAGCCATAGAAACCTCTCCCTTTCCAAATAAACAGCTTGACGTCGACATGATGATGCAATCGATGAGCGAGTACTTGAATGACCGATTTCATCATAAACATGATAAAAGTTCAGTTCTTTTGCCTTCCTAATTGCAAGATCTCGTAAAAGATCATGTACTCGACATGTTACAACC